AGCTCTTTGATTTCTTGGTTTCTTCCTTTAGCTTTGGCTTCTCGGCGCTCTAATGCAATATTCAGAGTCTCATTGGACATCCATCTTGGTCTTTTCTTCTTTTTCAGCCTTTGTAACGATCTTTTGCATTCTTCTTGTACGATTTTCTTGATATCCTCCCAGAGCTCATTTGGTCTATGCTCATTGGTGCTCAAGGCTTCAAACCTGTTCCTGAAATGGTTTTGAAATTTGAGTGGGATAGACTGAAGATCAAATTTTGGTTCCCATGGACTTGATTTAATTATCCTCAACTTCAGCTTGAACTTGCATATGAGTAGTTGGTGGTCTGTGCCACAGTCAGCACCCAGCCTGGTTTTGTGATATGTACCATCAAATCAGATCTGACTGGTACAGAAGATTATCCCTCCTTCTCCAGTAGAGCATCTGGTGGATTCAAACTGCTCACCTCTGGGATTGCAGTACAGCTTTTTGCCACTAGGCTGCCAGAGCTCGCCATCCACACAATCTTTTAACACACTCGAGCCCATTGCTGCAGCCACTATGTCAGTCCATCTCATTGGGGAGTCTTCCTCTCCTTCGCTGACCTTCCACCTTTTCTAGCATGATATCCCTCTTCAGGGAATAGCCCTCCTAACACTATGCCCAAAGTACATGGTTAGGGTTAAGAAATGGCAGGAAGACAGGCTCTTTGCTCTGGGAATGCCAGAAGGCAGACAGTAGAGGCTGGTCAGGCCAGCTGGTAGGAGAGCCTACAAGATAGGTATGGTTTGGGCCCTCAAGGAGCCTGGCTGTGAGGCCAACACTCTTGCTTTGAAGCCTATGTGCTTCCAAGCTTTTCAGTTCTGTGTCACATTGTGTGTTTCAAACCAGGAAAGCACTGGGCTGTCCGGGTGGGTGATTTCTACTCATGGGGCCGGAGCCCTCTGGCCATGTTTGTTCTCATACATTCATAGGACTGAGGGTTTGGGGCTGGGGATTTCAGCTCTGTCTGTCAGACAGTGTGACTGTTGGGAATGAGTGAGTGCGCAAAATGATATCCATGCTGGTCATAGTTCTCGTTCCCTCCCCACAATGCTGAGCAGAAGAGGCCGGTGAGGAGGAGAAGGCACCTCTGCCCAGCCTGGACGTTTTCCTGAGCCGCTACACAAGTGAGGACAATGCCTCTTTCCAGGAGATCATGGAGGTGGCCAAAGAGAAGAGCCGGGCCCGCCACGCCTGGCTCTACCAGGCTGAGGAGGAGTTTGAGAAGGTGACCTGGGCACAGAGGCCATGAGCACTCTGTTGGAGGGATGATGGTTGTCTCTGGGCCAGGGGCACAGTATCTGGGGGTTGCCTTGATGACCTCCACTTCCCTCTTGTGATTGCAGAGGCAGGAAGATAACCTTGCACTGCCTTCGGCAGAGCATCAGGCCATCGAAAGCAGCAAGGCCGGGGTGGAGACGTGGAAATACAAGGCCAAGAACTCCCTCATGTATTACCCAGAGGGTGAGCAAGTGGGGGAAAGCAAGGGCTGGAGCCCCATGCTTCTGATGTGGTGGGAGAATCTGACCTTCCTGGGATGGGTCATTTCTTTGTTGATGTCCTGAATCTTGCACAGCCTCAGTCCTGCTTGGTCTTGGGGAAGCAGGCAGAGCTGTGTGTGAAGTCAGCAGGGTAGTGAGGCCCTCCTCAGCTCTGACCCACAGACCAGAGCTGAACCCGGGACTGATGTGTTGATCCAGCTGAGAGCGAGTTTACTCTCTTTGAGACTCAGTAGTCAGACCTAAGCTGTGGCCACCTTCCATCTGATGCCCACTGCTGTCTCCTCTCAACCTGTCAGGTGTTCCTAATGAAGAGGAACTGTTCAAGAAGCCTAGACAGGTGGTGCATAAGAACACTCGCTTCCTCAGAGACCCCTTCAGTCAGGCCCTGAGCAGATCCCAGCTCCAGCAGGCAGCTGCCCTCAACGCCCAGGTGAGCAGACTGGGGCCGGCAGTGTCAGACTGGTACAAGCTGCACCCTGTGCAGTTCTGGCTGCCTTTCACGGATGAGGACTGTTCCTGGGGTTAGCAGAGCTCAGGGGTGTTAGTGTATTTGGATCATCTGTGTGACAGGGTCCCAAGTCTTTCTTGGCCTGTGTGGACTTCCTCTGGGCACTTAGTCAGACCCAGCGTGGATGTCTAGTTCAGTTCTGTGCCAGCACCCTTGGGTGGGCATAAGAGAATAGGTGCTGCTGGGACACTGTACAGCCTGGCCCAGCCCTCATCCTTGTGCCCCCACGTGCAGAGTTGGGGTCTGGGTAGTCCCTTACAGATGCCTCTTGAGACAGAGGCCAGAGCACAGGTGTCTGTTCATTACTGTCCCTGCAGGGGCTGGGAGTCAGTAATTTCTGGAAGTAGCATTCTGGGAGGTGGGGCCCAAGACTTGGGTGGGCCTTGCCACTGCTCTTTTGCCCTGTTGCAAGTGTCTGCCTGTGGACATCCACAAGGGCTCTGTTGGCACTCTTCTGCCTCCCGCTTCTCCCTTCTCTCTTCCCCCTTCCCCTCCCTCTCTCCCTTCTCTTCCTCCTTCCCTCCCACTCCCTTTCTCCCTCCCCTTTGCTTCCCTCCCCCTTCTCTACACCTTCCTTCCCTCCTTTCCCTTCTTTTCTCTCCCTTCCCCCTTCCCTCCTTCTCATTCTCCTGTCCTCCCTCCTCTCCTCCTCTCCTCTCTCCCTCTCTCCTTCTCTTACCGCCTCCCTTCCTCCCTCCCCCTCTCCCCCTCTTTTCTCTCCATCCCTTCTCCCATTCCTCTCTCCCTCTCTCTTCTCACTTCTTCCTTCCTCTTCCTTCTTCCATCCCTCCTCCCCTCCTTTCTCTCCTCCTCCTTCTTTCTTCCCCTCCCTTTTTACGTCCTCTTTCCCTTTTTCTCCTTGTCCCCCAAGAGGGCTGCCTACCTGGAGCTCTGACCCCGCCTGCCTTCAGGGTGATGTCTTCCGTTGTGAGCCTGGCACCTGCCCTCTGGCCAGCCAGCGCCCAACCTTCCTGACTCAGCCTCCTGCTTGTCATTCCAGCACAAACAGGGCAAGGTGGGCCCCGACGGCAAGGAGCTGATCCCCCAGGAGTCACCCAGAGTGGGCGGATTTGGATTCGTGGCCACCCCCTCTCCTGCCCCTGGTGAGACATGTACCCGCTGACCATCTGGTCTTCATTGGGGCTGCCCGTGGGGAGGTGGGCACCTCGGTGGAAAACAGCCCTCCCAATGGTCACTGGTTCTGCCTCATGCCCACATGACTTCTAGACCTGGTCCTCTTATGTATAGGGCTAGTGTGGGCTCTGAGACTGGCCTGACCAGGTTCCCCAGTGGCTAGGCTTATGCAACATGTGCCCCACTGGCCAGCTGAGTAGACTCCATGTTGCATCCTAAAACTTCGCACAGAGCTGGAGGCATTGGGATGTGCTAGCAGGATTGTCCGTGAGGGTCCTAAGGGTATGGGGACGGCCTAGCTGTCCATGGGCAGGCTGTTCACCTGGGCAGGCTGTCAGGGTGGGCTGGCTGTCCAGGTGGGCAGCCTGTCCAGTGGGCATGCTGTGTGAGTGGACAGGCTGTCTGGGTGGGTTGAGTGTCTGAGTAAGCTGGCTTTGCAGGTGGGCAGCCTGTACGGTGGACATGCTGTGTGAGTGGGGCAGGCTCTGCAGGTGGACAGGCTGTCTGTGTGGGCTGTCTTTCTGGGTCAACTGGGTATCTGGGTGGACTGGCTAACTAGGCCTGCTCTTCTGGTGACATCTGTTAGAGAGGGGTATGCACTCACCCCTGCACCCTTCCACCTCTGCCGTCGGCCTGGTCCATTGTCCTCACCTCCTCTGCACACACCTTCCCGGCCTGCGTCACTGCCTGAAACCACAGCTTTTGGGTCAATTCCAGCTCATAGCGACATTGCAGGGCCAAGTAGCACCACCTCCTGGAGTTTCCCAGGCTGTGATCTTTAGGGAAATAGACTCTCAGGAGTAGCCAAGGTCTTAACCGCTGTGTCCTCAGGGCTGCCAGTCCTGGAACCATTTTTGCTGGATGTGGTTCTCTGTCTCGTTAGCAGATTGGGCACTCGTGAATGCATGTGCATGCGTAATGTTTATGAACAAATTCAAATAGCATGTAGGAGTGGATAGGCCCTGTGTCTTTTTTTCAAAGCTCCTTTACACTTTGCCTGGGACTTGGGACACACAGCTGTCTGTCTACCCTCCCAGACATTGCCATTGACCTCTGCAACCTCAGGTACTGGTTACTCTGGGGTTTCAGGAGGTGAGAGTCTTGGAAGAAGCACCTGGTGCCATCTCTCCCTTTGTAGTGGGAACTGGCTGGGGGACCCACTGAGACCTGTAGTCCCAGACTTGTGCCAAGGTGGGGCCCAGCTGACCCAGTCCAGCTTTTCTCAGAAGCCTCAGCCCCCCAGCCCCTTCCCTGGTTAAACCCCACAGTAGCCGAGGTCTTTACGACCTTAGTATTTCTCTCTCAGAGAGTAGACAGAGCAGGCATTTAGTGTTTCTGGAAAGGGAGAGATGAACAAGATGGCAATGGGCTTAGCCGGGATGTGCTTGTGGTGGTCTGGCTGTTGCAGGAGAGGGTTTGAACGCTGCCACTGCCTATGCTCCCCTGGCCTGAAGTGGGTGGATTCTCCCGCTACAGGTGTGAATGAGTCCCCTCTGATGACCTGGGGTGAGGTTGAAAACACACCCTTGAGAATAGAAGGGCCAGAAACACCCTACGTGGACCGGACTCCAGGGCCAGCCTTCAAGGTAGGTTGTGGGGACAGGGGAGCAGTGTCAGGACTAGGAGTGGATGCCTGAGGAGGGTGTCCCCCTGAGCCCCTGGGGTTTGGTACAGGGTTCAGCAGTTGCTTCCCAGAGGAACATGGGGCCCTGAGGCAGAGGTCAGTGTGCACTGCATCTGCTTGGCATGAGGGGCTGGGACTTGGCTGCAAGGCAGGCACAGGCCGCCCACGATTGCTGCTGTCCCTACAGATCTTGGAGCCAGGGCGTCGGGAGCGCCTTGGGCTGAAGATGGCCAATGAGGCTGCTGCGAAGAACCGAGCCAAGAAGCAGGAGGCCTTACGGAGAGTCACAGAGAACCTGGCCAGGTACAGGGGTGCTGAGGGGAATGGGGGACCTCCCGCTGTGTGCCAGACTGTGTTCCACTTCTGGAAGTACAGGCTGCAGGCTTACATGGTAGAGTCCAGGGTGGCCTCTGAGGTCTTGTGGCGCTAGTCTGTCTGCTGACTCATTCCCCTCCTTGCTGTGCCTAAGAGGTCCTCGTGCCTGCGCTGTCCATCGAGAGCTCCTCTCACCCCATGAAGGCAGATGTTGCTATTCCACTTGGAGAGAGGCCTTGACCTCCAGCTCATCCCTAGCTCAGGGCAGCACTGATTGTCCAGAGTCTGTCTGTCCTGTGTGCTCTGCCTCTGTCGCTTCCTCCAGTGGCCCTCTCTTAACCCACAGTGGCTGCGCTCCCTAAGCGAATGCACTGCTGCTGTCTGATCTTCTGTAACTCTTTCTCTCTTACCTCTTCCCTCCCCACTAGCCTCACCCCCAAAGGCCTGAGCCCAGCCATGTCCCCAGCCCTCCAGCGCCTCGTGAGCAGGACAGCCAGCAAATACACGGACCGGGCCTTGCGAGCCAGCTACACACCTTCCCCAGCACGCCCAGCCCATCTCAAGACCCCAGCAGGTGGTCCCCAGACCCCCACCAGCACACCAGCTCCAGTCTCTGCCACCCGCACGCCCCTCATCCAGGACCCAGCTTCCATCACGGACAACTTACTACAGCTGCCTGCCCGGCGCAAAGCCTCAGACTTCTTCTAGGGCCAGGCTTGGCTTTCTTGGACCTGCCATAAGGCAGCTCTTCACTCCAAAGACTCCGGCCTGCTGGGGGGGCCTAGCCCCAAAACAAAGGCAGTTGACCTGCCAGCTGAAAGGTGTAGGCTGTGGCTGAGCCCAGCCAGGACACACCCATGCCCCCAGGGACTCCTTGCTGCTGTTTTTTATTGCAGTCCATCTGTGCTGTCATTAAAGACTCCTGCAGCCTGGCAAGGCTGCCTTTCTGCCTCCCACATTGAGTGGGGGACTGGCCATGCTGCCTCTGTCTTGGGCTTGTGAGGCCGGCTTTCAGGGGGGACGGAACCTATGAGAGGTGACCCCCAGAGAGGTGGGTGACTTGGTCTTTCTGGCCTACCTTGTGTGGGTTTGGGTATGATCTGGGACCCAGAACTTGCCTCTGAGCCATGCTCACTGCATGGCTACCTCTGTGCTTTTGTGGGAGGGGTGGAGACCTTGGAGATTAGACCTCTTAAAGGAAGCTCTAGTGGTAAGAGACTCTGCTTAATACCAAAGGTATCTGGTTTGAATCTACCGGCTGCTCCACAGGAAAAGGATGAGCAATTTATTGGCTCTAAACACTTCCTGGAGGGTCGGCTATGGATCAGTTTTTTAACTTGACGGCACACAACAGTAACAACAGGTTAGCCTGGAACTCTGAGCCAAGCCCACAGCCCACCCACCTGGCCTGTCCCCGTGTGCTTTCTGGCTGACCAGGAGTGTATAGGGTTCTGTAGGTCAGACTCCATCCTACATGAAGGGGTGTCATCTGTCATCCTTAAGCATGTGGCTTCCAGTTCAGAGGGTCTACAAGGCTACCTCCATTTCCTTCAAACTGTCATGCCATGGTCTGCCCATCGTATATCATTGACCAGCCTTCTCTATAACAAGAACCTCCAGCTGTCTCTAACAGCTTCCATGTGCAAAGATTGGAGCTGCACTCTCCGCACATTGAGGAGGACTGAGCATGACCACCACTCACTGGAACCATTAAGACTGAGGAGGACATCAGTGCCTGTGCCAACTGTGTAGCAGCTGGTCCTAAAAGCCTGCCCTACAGCTGAGGTGGGTGGGGCAGGGCCCCAAATCAGGTTTCCTCAGGCCACGGGGGTAAAGGTGGGGATGCAGCTCACCAGACACAACTAAGGTTCTGCTCTGGCTGTGAGCATGAACCTGTCTGCTTTAGATCATAGTTGCCTTGGCCACTTTTGCCTGTCCACTCTTGCCCAGGTCGTCCTTGGTCTTGGGAGACCAGGCACAGACATAACCCCTGCTACTATGGCCAGCACTGATCTGTGCGTCTGGCCATGCCCAGTCCTGCACAAGGCCTATTCCATCAGGAGGAGGTGTGTAGATCATCAGGAGGGGGACTGGAGATCAGAATGTTGGGCTCTTTTCACTCATAGGAAAGAGGAGGCTCTCACCCCAGGGAGCCCTTGGGAATTCCCGAAGGTCTGAGTAGATTTAATTCAGATGGAGAAGAGGATACCATACAGACAGAGTGCACAATGAGGTCAAGAACTGGGGCCACACCACCAGGAGTGCTCAGTTGGTGTGGAGTTGGGGCTGAGTCATGTTGAGGTACAGAGCTGCAACAGGCCATTAAAGAGGTTGCTGAGAGGGCTGATGAGTCAGTCCGAGGAGGACAGAGACTGAGGTGACGAAAGGGTTGGGAAGTGCACAGAGGACAATTTCAATGTGGTGTGCAGGGTTCAGGCTGGGACCAAGACCATGAGAGGGTGTGCAGTAGGGTGAATGGACCACAGCAGACCTGGTGCCCATGTGTGGACCTATCCCAACTCTGTAGGCAGTGGGGACAAGAGCAGGTCGGAGGGATACAGATGTGGGTTTCCTGCCTTCAGGCCTCGTGTTGTCTCCCTAAGCCCAAGCACTGGTCCCTGGACCCCTGTCTGGAGACCCCACGCATAGGGTTAGGGGCCGGCTGAGTCCTAGAGAAAAAGACTCCTCATGGGCTACCATCACAGCTTGTATAATATACTTTGTGGTTTATTTGGTGGTCAGTAGGTAATGTCTTTGCTACTGAGTGGAAGCAAGCTAATAGAACGTAATCAAAATAGTGGTTTAATTGACGGATTTTACTTGTTCTTGCACCTGTGCCTTCTTCAGCTTCTACCTGACTTAAGTTTTACCATGAGCATCAGCCAATCACCATGCCCCATGGGGCCCTCACCAACACTAGATGCTGGCTTTCCCCACCTCGGCTCCAGAGAGGGGGTGCTCCTTGGCCCTGGAGGTCTCAGCAAGCCTGTCCTCCATCCTGATGTCCTCATTCTCGGGCACCCCCAGTAGCCAGTGCTGGGTTTTGGCACCCAGTTTATGGTCTGGCCGGTGGTCAGGCCGTGAGCCCGGTCGAGTGTCCAGTTTACACTCCGCTCGGTACTTGCCTTCCCCCTCCCTCTTGAAGGAGCTGGATGACAGGGCTTTGGGCTTTGGGGGCTGCAGCCAGGTGTGGCTGAGGATTTCATCAATGTGCAGCCGCCTGTTGACGTCTGGCTGCAGGATGCGGTAGATGAGGTCCTTGCACTCACTTGTCAAGTTCTTGGAGCGGGGGAAGTCCACACGGTGCTCCTTCTGGATGCGCAGCATCTTCTTGATGTCAGAGTCATCGTAAGGCATGGAGCCACAGACCATGATGTAGAGGATTACGCCCAGGCTCCAGATGTCATACACCTTGGGCTGGTAGGGGATGCCCTGCAGCACCTCGGGGGCTGCATACGCTGCAGACCCACAGAAGGTCTTGCTGAGGATGATGCGTCCGCTGCCATCCCTCAGGCAGCGCTTGGAGAAGCCAAAGTCAGAGAGCTTGATGTTGAAGTCTTTGTCCAGGAGAAGGTTCTCACACTTGAGGTCACGGTGCACAACATCCAGGTCATGGCAGTACTTGACAGCTGAGGAGAGCTGGCGGAACATCTTGCGAGCCACGTCCTCGTGCAGGGCACCCCGGCACTTGATGAACTCCAGGAGGTCACCCTGGACCCCGAGCTCCATGACAATGTAGATCCGCCCATCCGAGGTCTCAAAGATCTCGTAGGTCTTGATGATGGAGCGGTGGTTAACGGTCGCCAGGATCTCCATCTCCCGGGGAAGGAATCTCTCCACAAAGTCTGTGGGTGTCTTCTTGCGGTCAATGATCTTGACTGCCACATTGAACTTGAGGCGCTCAGAGTAGGCAGACTTGACTTTGGCGTAGGAACCCTTGCCCAGGTTGATGCCCACGATGTAACCCTTCTTCTTGAGGACTGCGGCATCATCCATGGTGCCCGGAGCGGCCAGCGCCGCTGCCATCTACGTCCCCTCCCCACGTGGGCCAGCAGGCATTGTCTTCATTTACACTGTGAGGGAGTGCTCTGGGTGGGCTGGGTTGGACTTGGAGGCGTGGAATGCTCAGCATTGTCCCTGGATGACTTCAGCAAGTGAAGTCATAAAGCCAGGCAGCTGGGAGTGGAGACTGGGGTGGACTCATGGGTCCGCTGGAACACGGAAGCCAGGCCTGCCTGGCTGGAAGCTGGTGCCCAGGACTGTGGTGAGCCTCCCTGCTGCCCTTGCTTCAGCTTCCTCACCAGGCTGGGCAATAGGAGAAATGCCTTCTGCGTCAGACCTGGAATGGGCTGGCTAGGGCCTTGTCCGTGCTCTTTGCCATAAGGGCAGCCCCTGCCTGGGCCCTCATCCCATGTGTGTGGTTTCCTGCAGCTACTTTGGTGTTTGAAGAAAACTCTGTGTGGAGTTTGTGAGCTCAGAGCCAGGGATATCTTGCCTTAGCCCAGCCTGGCTGCAGCATCTCCAGACCTGGTGGCTGATAGCATGCCTGGGAGCGGGAGTTGTGAGGCTGCAGAGGGAATCACTGTTTTGGTGAGAAGGGGATGTGTGAATGAGTGACATAGTGGTGGGAGTTGTGCATGGACGATGCATTGGATAAGTTAGGCTGAAGAAGTGTTCTGAGGACCAGGGGCCACCCTGAGGCTGGGCAGAGCTTTGACCATTCAGAGGAGGGAGTATAACAGCCCAGTGGCCATGAGAAGGGGAAGGGATTTGGGCCTGTTTGTGGAAGGCTGTTTGCCTAAGTGTCAGGACACTGTTGTGTGTCACACACCAAGAGAAGCTACAACCCAGGTTACATTTTAAGTGTGGAGCGTGGGCTGTAGGATGTATCTGGAGACTGTTGACAGGTCTGTGATGACAGGGCTTCCCTATTGAGGGGGTGGGACCCCGGCAGAGCATGGCATCCTCACTCTTTACTTGTTAATAGCAGGCATGTGGGGGTAGTTTGTGAAGTGTGGATATATCTTTGCTTCCAATTTATGATGCATCTTTCCCTGGGATTGAGTCAAGTATGACTCACAGCAACCCTGTGAACAACAAATTTACCCTGGCCTGGCCTGTGCCATCTTCATCATTGCTGACATATTTGAGCCCATTGCTGCAGTCACTGTCACTACCTGGTTGAGGATCTTCTCCTCTTTGGCTGACCCTACACCTTTATAGGCATGATGTCTTTCTCCAAGGAATAGCTTCATGCCCAAAGTATGTGAGACAAAGCTTCACCATCCTTGCCTCCAAGGAGCACTCTGGCTGCACCTTCTCCAAAACATAAGTTTATTTCAGTCTGTGGGATTTTCAGCGCTCTTCGCCAACACCGCAGTTCAAAGGCAACAATTCCTCTGTCACCCTTAGTCGTCGTCCAGCTCATAATTTATCAGATAGGCCTCTTGAACTGCCTCTAGCACCTAGGAGCAGCACAGAAGTCCTTGTCAGGGCACATGCATGCACTTTTAGTTTGTAGTGTCCCCATATGTCCCCATAGGTCCTTTGAAATCCCACTTGTAGAAGCACTGTGAGTCTGTACCAGGAGCACTCACTGTCCTTGGCTCTGGAGCACCGTTAGAGCTGTGCAGCGGTGCTGTGTGCTAAGTGTTCCAGTTCTGCTCTAGATGGCAGGCCAGGGGAGGTCCCCACATGCACTGTCTTGGACCTGCCTCTGTGGATCTGCCTTCTTGGCTGGCTGACTCTGCTTTGTGATCCCACCTCTGACACTCTCCAGCCCCTGAGTGGCTTCCCTGAGTCCCAGGAGCCAGGTTTGAGCATTGCCAAGGTAACTACAGGGAGATGTAGTAGCCTGGTGGTAAGAAACTGTGCTGTCATCCCAAAGGCACATGGTTCTAGTCTACCTGCGGCCCCGTGGGAGAGACATGGGCAGTCTCCTCCTGTGTGATATACTGTCTCTGAAAACCCATTTGAGAGTTGTTTATGGGTTGGTTCCAACTCAGCGGTACATAAGAACAATAAAGGCAAATGGTTTAGGATTCTCTTAAGAAGAGTGGGCTCTCCATCTTGTAGGCAGGGCTGGGTTGCTGGTGGGCATGTTTGAGGGTCAGGCCTGGGGGCCTCCAGAGCCTCTCTGGATGCAGACGTCCTCTAAGTTGGAAACTCAACACTCAGAAAGCCACTTTGCTCTGAGCAGCTTTCTTGTATAAAGTGGGTATCCATGTATTCCTTAATTGCATGTGTAATTGGGAGTCTGTCCTAGGTGTTGAGGACACTGGCTTCATGGAGCTGAATGCCTAGCAGGAGGAGTTTGGCATGGGTCTGTATCACGCGAAAGTGTAAGTGGACGATGGAAGCACGTGGAACCGTGAGAACACAGAACTGGAGCCTGAATTTAAAAGACTGGAAGATTAAAGTCCGTGGGGTTCACTGATGAAGGCGAGGGATGAGGGGGTCAGGTGAAGGCCATATGTGTGGTGGCCTGTCAGGAGGTGGTGTGACAGGAATGTGCAGGGACTGGCAAGGGCATTGATGGCCAGAGAGGGTTATGTTGAGGATCCTCGGGATGAAGGTGGGGTCAGGGAAGTTGTTGGACCGTTTCTTCTGAGCTAATGGGATGGTGTGGGCTTTGTTGAGAGCTATGCTGGCTGGATATAGAGGAAAGTGCATGCTGACCTATCCAGCAGGTTGAGAGGCTAGATCACACATGGCCCTCAGCTGCACTCATCACCCACCAGCAGGCTTGTGGGGTTGGGGTTAAGTGACAAGTTGGAGCTTGTAGGATGCTGAGGTGGGGGAAGTGGAGAATAAGAGGAGTTTCCAGTTGCCTGGACCTCCCATCCTGGGCATGTTGCTTCCAGCAGGCCATCTGCCTTCTGAGCTCTATCCTCTCTCCAAGGTGGATATTGCATGCCTGCTTTGCTTACCAAACAGGTGCCCTGCAGGACTTCTGCTCTGGGTACCTGCTGGCTTATAAACCGCCCCTCCCTTTTCCAGACAGGTCTCCAGAAGACCCTTCGGGCCCTTCATGCAGTGTGCTGGGCCACCAGGGGAGCAACACGGCCTGGGTTCACTCTAGCCATGGTGACACATCCGGCATGGGGTAGACACACCAGATAGAGTATGCCAGGGACTCCCAGAAGGCTTTCCGTGGGCAGTGTTACCAGGCTGACCCCCATAAAGTGGGCAAGAGGAGTTAAACGGGAGAGTGTCAGGGAGTAGCGTTTCAGTGGCTGCTTCAGAAAGCAGCATGGGCATGTCTGCCTGGACTAGGAAACAGGGTAATGTAGGGTCCTGGGGGTGTAGTGGGAGACCAGCAGGTAGGGTGGGGCAGCAGCAGGAGGCTGGACATGGAAGGATGCCCAGGACCTCCCTGGGTGGAGCGAGCCCCTGTTGTAGGTGAGGGCTCTTGGCTGCTGTGGGAGAAGACCATGGGGGCTGTGGTGACAGGAGAAGGCAGGCAGGGAGATGGCCCAGGATGTGAGGTTCAGAGGGCATGTCCTGTGGAAGAGGGCTGTGGGGAGGTGAGGGAGGCAGAGGGGACCAGGATGTACCTCCAGTTCTGCTCTAGATAGCCATCCAGGGGAGGTTCCTAAGGCAAGGCAAGGCATCCCTGGTTCTGAGCACGCAAACTCCAGAGGGCTGGGGGACAGAAGAAGGCAGCAAAGAGGTGGCTAAGATGTGGGGTTCAGAGGATGTTTCCTGTGGGAGAAGACCATGGGGGCAGTGGGGAGGGGAGGAGGTAGATGGAGGATCGGGATGTGGGGTACAGAGGGCAAGTCCTGTGGGAGAAGACCACAGGGCTGTTAAGACTAGGAGGAGGCAAGCAGAGGTGGCTGGGATGTGGGGTATGGAGGCCATGCCCAGGGTGGACTTATCTTTTTCTCAGCCCCCTGGTTTGTGACAGGGGCAGGGATGCAGGCTGGGAGCAGTTGTGTGGTCCAGGAGAGCCAGGGCCCTGGGCTGCAGCTAGAGTGCCACATGCATACCATTTCCTCTGACACCCAGGGCCCTCTCCCTGCCAGCAAGTTCTAGCTGCTTTGGTCCACTCCTCTCCTTGCTGGTGTCTTGTGGTTACAGATGGGCTTAGAGGGGAGTGGGGTGTCGTCAGGGCCATATAGTGAAGGTAGAACACCTCACAGCAGCATTCTCCCCTTCCTGCAGTGACCTGGGCATTGTTGAGAGCTGAGAACAGAGTAAGCAGGTTAGAAAATGCCAGAAAGGTGGTGGTTGTGTGCCACTGTGTTGGAACCAACCCGTTTTCAGAGGCAGTAAGGAAATTGTCCATCCTCCTGCAGAGAGCAGCTGGTGAATGGTGGATTCGAATCGTGAGCCTTTGTGATCACAGTCCAGCTTTTTACCTCTAGGCCACCAAAGCTCCCAGCAAGTTGAGGGACCACAAATGGGTGAAAAACCAAAGCCCAAGCCCTCTGCTGTGCTCTCCCACTGGCAGCTTTCTGGGGCAGGTGGGGCATGGTCCCGTGGGTGCTCTGCCATCCTGGCTCCTCCTGCCTGGTCCCACACACCCCACTCTAGGCCTCTCTCTGGAGGTACCTTTCCTGTCCTCTATATGCCCTGGAAGTGGTCATTGAGGCGGCCCCTGCTCCCACCTGGCTTATGCACTCTGGGCTGGATACAGTGTGTTTTCCCTGACCCTCCTGGGTCCTTGCAGCTGGGCAAAGACACGCATTGTGCAGTTGGCACGAATATAGTCCATGATTTATTGCTTCTTTAGCCATGTGGCCTAGGGAGTTCAGAGGGAAGGAGAAAAAAAAAACAACGAAAATAGTAGCTCATCAGGGACCATGCTCCTTCATTGGCTTGTCCCTTGGCTTCGTCCTGGTTCAGACCAGATGCCATGAGCTTGACCTCTTTCTGTGCTGCCCCCCTGCCCCTGGGCTGAAGGTTCACTGGTTGTGTGTCTCTGAAGGCTGCTTTGAGACTTGGGGGCTCCCCTCCTCTGTCTCACCGGTTGGATGCTCGCCCACAAAGCCCAGCGTCTCTGGCTGCCTTGACACCTCTGCCGTTGTTGTCTCCTTGGGGCCCATCTTGGGCCCATCCTCCTCTTTTGGCTCCAGCTTTGTGGCAGACACTTTGTCAGAGGTGGGATCTGGGGTCCATGTGCCATCAGCGGCTCGGGAAGTCTCCCCCTCCTTATTTACAGCTGGGGAGGGCAGGCTCCGGGCCTTTGGCTGCACCCAGCAGTGGCTGAGGATCTCGTCAATATGCAGCCGTCGGTTGACGTCTGGCTGCAGCATTCTGTAGATGAGGTCCTTGCACTCACCAGTCAAATGCTTGGAGCGAGGGAAGTTGACCCGGTGCTCTTTCTGGATGCGCAGCATCTTTTTGATGTTGGAGTCATCGTAAGGCATGGAGCCACAGACCATGATGTAGAGGATCACGCCCAGGCTCCAGATGTCATACACCTTGGGCTGGTAGGGGATGCCCTGCAGCACCTCGGGGGCTGCATACGCTGCAGACCCACAGAAGGTCTTGCTCAGGGTCAGCCGACCACTGTCGTCCCTCAGGCAGTGCTTGGAGAAGCCAAAGTCAGAGAGCTTGATGTTGAAGTCTTTGTCCAGGAGAAGGTTCTCACACTTGAGGTCGCGGTGGACGATGTCCAGGTCGTGGCAGTACTTGATAGCCGAGGAGATCTGGTAGAACTTCTTGCGTGCGTCATCCTCATGCAGGGCACCTCGAATTTTTATGAACTCCAGGAGGTCGCCCTGGACCCCGAGCTCCATCACAATGTAGACCTTACCATCGGAAGTCTCAAAGATCTCATAGGTCTTGACGATGGAGTGGTGGTTGAGTGTGGCCAGAATCTCAATTTCCCGGGGAAGGAATTTCTCCAAGAAGTCTGCGGGGGCTTTCTTGCGGTCAATGATCTTGACTGCCACATTGAACTTGAGGCGTTCAGAATAAGCGGACTTGACTTTAGCGTAGGAGCCCTCTCCCAAATTTATGCCCATGATGTAACCTCGTCGCTTGAGGACGGCAGCGTCATCCATGGTGCTGGAAGCGCCCAGTGCCTCTGGGGCCGCCCTCTACACCCCTGCAGGACATGGGCCAGCAGAGTCCTCATTTACACTGTAAACAGAGGGTCCTGAGGGCTGGCCAGGCCTGTTGTCTGGCCTCCTAGCGGCCCAGACTCTCGGGTAGAACATTGAGCATTGTCTCCCAGGTGACTTCAATGGGTGAAGTCACAAAGGAGGAGAGCCCTGGGGGAATAAGGCTCCAGTCTGGTCTCTTGGTCTTGGAACCCTGAAAGGCTGGGCAGTGGACTAGAGTAGACCGAAAACCTGCAGATGATGGTCTGATGCCAGGCTGGGATCAGAGGTAGGGGCTGTGGAGACGTGGGTCTGCCCATGCTCCTCTAGCCCAGAGGCAGGACTTCTATGGATTTGATGGAGGCTGAGGATTGCAAATCAGAGCATCTGAAACCCAGGGCTGTATCAGTTGAGGTCCCTGAAAACAAGATCATCTGAGAAGGGCATAGTAAAGGGAATATTTACAATGGGGGCGGGGAAGGAGAGGGATATTATAAGGTGATGCAGGATCCTTGAAGTGGGTAATAAACCCCTGGCCCTTATGGAAGGAGGGAGGGAGGAAATGGTCATAGGAATCTCGCCTCTCAGAGGCAGTTAGTGGCTGGAGTGAAGGAGCCAAGGCCATAACATCCCCACAGGAGGGAATTAACCAGGCTATGACATCAATTTCAGGTCATAGCATTCTCTTTTGTGAGCTCTTTCCTCTGCATACCTTTGGGGGAGCCTTCCAGAATGTAGCAGGGCAGAGAGCATTGAGGTAGATCAAGAGGCCCAGCAGTCACTGCTCCAGTTTAAGATCACACTTTCCCAGCAGAGTGTCACTGGCTTCCTATGATGTACAGTCCTCTGAGCCTCTAAGAGCCTTCTCTGACCATGGCTCTGCAGAGAGTGACTGGCAGAAACTTCTGCTCTTGACCTGTAAGTACCCTCCCAGGACTGTCTGGCCTATTGCCCTGGCTGGGCTCCCTCAGCAGATCTGGGGCAGGACAGAAGGGTAGGCCTGGGTATGTACATGCAATAAATGCATCACTGGCCAGTGTGTCCCTCTGGCAGCTGTTTTGTCCAGCATGTGTTCCAGGTTCGACCACAGCCTTATTTTGGTCATGGGGAGTTTGTGTCCCTTTCTCAGATGCCCCAACCTCATAAGGGCTGTTCCTGGGTTGTGGGGCTGGAGGCCCACTGGAGGGATGTAACTTATTCTTCCCCCTTTCTTAACTCGTCTTTCCCAGAACTGATGTTCTCTGGCAGCCTTGCCTTTGGGTGTCTTGGATTTTCCAGGTTCAGACACCCTCACATGTGGCAACCTTCGCACATTCACCTCATTATTGATGACAGGTATGAGTGCTGCATCAGCAGCACTGTTCCCAAGCCAGTCAGCCACCCCTTCCTAGTGGCCGCTCAAAACACTCGGCTTTCCCCCACGCACATGTGACCTGGGCTGGAGGCAGAGCCCTTTTTACTGAGGTCAACATTGCACTAATCTCCTTAAAATCTAGTAGCTCTTTCTGTTTCAATTTTCTTAGGCTATTTCTTTAAGCTCTAGAGCTCTGGTAGCTTAGTGGTAAGGAGCTATGCTGCCAATACAAAGATATGCTGATCAAATCCACCAGCTGCTCTGCAGAAGAAAATTGGGCAATCTCCAATGTGATTTACCTCCTCTGAAGACCTGCTGTCAGCTATGAGTAGGTTCTTAAGGGTACTGTCAACAGTATACAGCAACAATTTCCTTAAATGCATACAGCACTTTGAGCTGTGAACCTGAATTAGCCTATTCTTACAAGGTTGATCCTCCTTTCCCATGTTTAGGACCTCCTGAGAGGTAGCCCAGCTCCCTCCAACTTGCTCTTCTCTCTGTTTCTGTGTATTGTTCAGTTGGAACTGACCCATAGCTGACTCCAGTGGGTTTTCAGAGGCAGTAAATCACACTGGAGGAATTTTCCCATCCTTCTCCCATGGAGCAGCTGGTAGACTAGAATTGTGTACCTTTGCCATTGCAATACAGCTTCTTACCACTAAGCTACCAAAGCCCCTTTAAAACTGTATGGGGCTTTGCATTTAAAAGTTGGCTGAGAGAAACCGCCATCATGCATTATTAGATGCCATGGATCTGTTCCAGTCAATTAACTAGGTACTTGGGCCGTGGGGGAGGGGATGCTGTCTAGCTTGACCACGCGAGAACCCTTAAGCTCAAGCAACAGGGAGGACTGGGACACCTCAAGGAAGGCAAAAAGCCACTTCCAGAAGGGAACAACAGGCTTCCTGGTCTCTCATTAAGGTATTTTTGGAGGACAAACTTGTTCTCAGGCCAGAGGCCTACAGGGCTTGGGCCAAGAAGGGAGCACAGTATATAACTGCTTCACAAAACATTGCCATGCCCAGGGTAAGTATATAGTTACAAAAGCCTAATATCTACTAAGAAAAGACAAACATAATATGAAGAAAGCAGCAATCTACGTCAGCCATTATGAAATATGACCCAATGAATATCCCAGATAGAACCAGAAGAAAACATGAAGAGTTATTTGATCAGCTACAGAAAAAGATACAAATGTGAGAAGAAGACAGAGAGTAGTTTTTTGTTGTTGTTAAGTGACGTCAAGTAGCAGGCGACTCATAGCGACCCTATTAAGGAGAGTCCTCGACATTTGGGTGCCTTTTATCCTCTCTTCAGGTTCATAGGGTTTCCGGATCCAAGCTATTATGGAAGTGGATATCACTTCTCCTTCCAAGCTTGTTTTAATTGGGGAGCTCCAACCCACTCTCTGTCCACATTGGGTAGCCAGCCATTAACGCATTTGACACATCAGTGTCACAGTGTTCAGCCTCAAAGCAACCACAAGTGATTGTGGTACGGCAACTTGTACACCAGGGCTGTACGACCTAGAGGAATGTCAGTAGTATAAAGGAAATAAATGGATGAGGAGCAACTTGAACAGTTATGGAGCAAAATGCAAAAGATGGAAGAAAGAATTTAATAGAATAAAGTACAAGACCTTAAAAAATCATCACAAGACAGAGAGAGTGCAGCCAACACAGTACTGGAAAGAACAGAATTGCATGATAATGCAATCCAGAATATTAAGACTAAAATGGCACAAGTGTCCAACATGTTGGTAGGACAAAAAAGTAGAACTGAAGAGATGGAACAGAGGATCAGTAAGCTGGAGACAGAAGCCTCGCTAGAAACATAATAAAAGAAAAAGAGATGAGACATAAAGAAAATGAAGAAAATATTAGAATCGTGTGGGATGACATTAAATGGAATAACAGACATATGATTGGAATTCCAGAACAAGGAGTGACAGGAGAATCACTGAGAAGATTGTGGAAGAACTAGAAGAAAACTTCCTAGGTATTTTGAAAAACAGGGAAATCCACATTCAAGAAGCACAGAGAACACCCAATAGAACAGACCCAAAAAGAAGAACACCAAGATGTATCATAGTCAAATTCTCCAAATTAAAAGATAATGATAAAATTCTAAAAGCAGCATGAGAAAAACAGTTACCTTCAAAGGGGAAACAATTAGATTAAGTTCTGGTTTCTTTGCAGAAACCATGTATGCTAGAAAGCAATGGGATGACATATAAAGAAAGTGAAAATAACAATTGCCAGCAAAGAATCCTATACTCAACAAAACTCTCCAAATATGAAGGAGAAAACAGATTCTTTGCAGAAAAGAAAGAACTTAAGGAATGTGTGAAAACAAGACCAAAACAAGAAATTTTAAGTAAAGTCTTGCACACAGAGATGCCAAAGGAAATGTATAGACCAGAGTAACCAGAAACTACAGAAAAAGAAACACAG